AATATTATATATATATATATATATATATATATATATGTATACCCTTGGGTACTTACCTAGACAACCCGTCCTCACTAGTTTTGCGGGCCCCAGCATAATCTCCATTCTTTGGAGTTTTACTGGTTTAGCCACTATGTTTCCCTGGAGTTCCGCGGTCACTTTAGCCAAAATCTCTCCCAGGTCGTCACTACCATAGGTAGTCGCTGCTCTTATGGATCAGAAGAAGGTTGGCAACCATGCGACTAGTTTGATACCAGGACGGTGGTGGATCTTGGTAATAGTTGGCTCTTAGTTGAGCTTCTTAGTGGAACTCTGGAACAAAAAACCGAAACTCCCAATTTAATTGCGAAAATTTGCCCGCACCAAAATGCATTTGGACGGATGGTCCTGCTTCACTGAATGAATTCCCGCAATGTAGAAAAATTTCAGCGTTATGACTTTAAGCTGCCCAGTACGAGGTTTAGATGAGGACCGTTTCGGTTTGATTTTAGGAAAGACATTTAAAAGAATGAAAAATAAACATACAGATTGTTTGAAATTACAGAAAAATGACTGTAAGCTTCCCTACATCATTCAGTGAGAGTTCCTCTAATTCTAATGCTTATGAAATAAGCTTCGTTTTCCTAACCAAATATTGTAAGTAACACACAAGGGTGCTGAGATATCTGCAAAACTCAGGACTGCAGGTGTCTGCGGTGGGGTCTGAACACGCTATTACCCTTTCTGGGGGCTAACGCCTTCACAATCTCACCATGCGAGTCCTTCGTTCCGTCTTTCTCTCATGTATGATTAAACTGGCAATTAGTAATAACCCGTCAGTGGGGAAGTGTATGCAGTAAGTAAAAAATGACCACATTATAAGTAACTTTGAATGCAGCAATTTAGTACTGGACAACTTCTAAGGAGATCAGGCATATTTTTCGTAGCGATAATATCATTACTCCAAAAATAACTGGCAACAACTCTTAATACCCTATCCCAGCGTATAACTACTAAGCAGTATACCACAAAAGCAAACTAGTAACTCATCAAACAACAAACATTTTGAAAGCGTAAACACTGAGAATGACTTAATTCAAAACTGAATTAGAGAGGCTAAAATCAGGAAACAACACACTACCTCCTCGTCGGACTTGCATTCTTCAGCATCTGATGGTTCATCTTCCCACTCGGCATCAGAATCAACCTACAATAATGCTAAGCTGGAGAGAAGATACTCATTACGTGAATATATTTCGAACACCCAAGAACTGTAAAAGCTTATACCATACAAGGCGAGAACAAACCTCGTAGTCAATATTTTCATCTTCAGTTGTGAAAGGACGCCGTCCTGTAACAACGTTACTTCGGATACGCCATGTACCGTAGTAAGGGGGACGGTAATTGTCGTGAAATTGGTACAGCTTCGCACGCATAGGACTGCAACATGTATATATGTACGTATGTATAAATATATATGCATATATGTACATATATATGTACACGTATATATGTATATACATATGCATACATGTGGTACATAAATGTATAAGTATGCATACACGTCAATGTATGTATGTGTGTGTATATGTAGCATGGTTTGAAGATCCAACATATAGACAACTGCATGCAGTGATGTAGTGAATGTGGTTTTGTCATCTACTTAACAGTTCAGTAGGTTCCACGTTAGTTTTTACCTCGTGAACGGATCCAACAAAATATTTACCACATAAAAGCTCTAAAAGGATAAAGCTCTCGGCGTTGATCAATCCCTGAGGGATGCGCCATGTACTCGACTTCATTAAGTATCCTTGAAAGTTAATAAATGCATATCTGGACTTTACAACGACTCGCCGTGGCCCATGTATCGAGCCAGTGTTCCAATCCTCCCTGACAGGTCTGATACTAATTTCATGACCTCCGAGGGACGAAAAGCTTGGTGAAGCTGAGGAACAGGAGTCGATCGATCCGGTGTTTATTACATGGCGCTTCCTACCACTGGGCTACATGCGACCCATTGACCACATAAAAAGGGTAAAGCTCTAGGCGTCGATCAATTCCTGAGGTATGAGCCATGCATTCGACTTCATTAAGTATCGTTTTGAGGTGATTGAATGTAATCTGGCCTTTGACCACATAGACACGGACCAAAAGTTTAGATTTCTAAACAACTTAGGACACGACGCAACATTAGGCTACCATAAATCTATCCACTTCGAAGTTATTCGAAAAAATCCAAAGTCTCATTATGCTTCCCAACGTCAAGAATAGGTTTCAAAAAAAAAAAAGGAAAATAAAGTAAGGCAAGAAAAGAAGTGAAAAAAGAGAGAAACAACAGAGAAGTTTCGAAACAACGGATTTTCAACATCCATTCCTTCCCAGTGAGCATACAAACCTTTCTGTTTAAACTAGTTCTAACATATGTTAAGGATAAATAGCCTAACCTCCTGACGGTTTACCGCCTCATCGTGGCTGGGAGGTGATCCTGGGTGTCGTGCTACGATGTACACCTGAGGGTTCATCTCCCCAACAGTCTCCCAAGCTGAGTAGTCCGGCGTTTCCTTCAGGAAGTCCAGCTAAGAATAAACCAATGCCAGGATCCACCACCGTCCTGGTACCAAACTAGTCGCATGGTGACAAATCCCTTTCCGATCTACAAGGGCGGCGACTGCCTGTGGTGGTGACGACCTGGAGCAGACTTTGGCTAGGCCAACCTCAGGACTCCGGGAAACCAAAACGACTAGACCGACAAAACCGAAAAAACGGAAATTATGCGGGGGTTGCACAATCAGTGAAAACCGGCCATCCTACTATCCAAGTAAGTGGATGGTCTAAAACAACGGCTAACAACAACAACTATTCAGCCAAATGAAAAATCCGTAAACTGTTTCTATCTATTTTGTTGGATCTTGCTAAAAGCCTTTTCATTGCGAACCAATAAAAGAAAATTTTGGAAAAAAGCTATATTCGAGCTATTCCCCCAGGTCTAAAACAACGGCTAACAACAACAACTATTCAGCCAAATGAAAAATCCGTAAGCTGTTTCTATCTATTTTGTCGGATCTTGCTAAAAGCCTTTTCATTGCGAACCAATAAAAGAAAATTTTGGAAAAAAGCTATATTCGAGCTATTCCCCCATTAACACACACATATTACCACTTGACAGAAAGCCTGAAATAGAAACACGTTAGAGCTATTTGACGAATTGGTCTCAAAGAAGCAAAACTTACTTCGCCGTTACACCAACAAGTTTTCTTGGATTTTTAGATAAAGCTGATAAATAGTCGTTTGGAGAGGCCTAGAACAAGTATAATGGTGCGTATAAAGGAAATTACAAATAGCACCAGAAAACACAGAGACGAACACACATCTGCTTCTTGTTTTAATATGTCATCATCCAAATGAAGCACATGACGCCTTTGGATAGGGGCCAACTTCATGCCGTCTTTTACCTAAAAATAATCTTTATTAACAAGCAACCTTATTCCGACAAATGGCATTCTTGACCAACCACGAAGTGTGAACGGTAGAAATGTGAGTTGCAAAATCACCTACAGTACCCCTTCCACCGTTGATTTTCAAGTAACTTAAGCTAGCTCGGGTGATGCCTTCGTACGTTCATGTCGCATCCAAGACTGCCCTAGTGGATCTCTCTAGAAACTTGCTGCCCATGACATACTTCTTCAAGGATCAATGTTAAGCATTCTAATCACCGGGTCTGTGGTGCTGCTGTGCACTTGATATCCCATCGAATTCAGTCGCTAAAAGTAGTTGTCCATCGGTTGTAGTGTACACGTATCAGGTGTATCCGATACACCTGATTTATATAAAATTTGGCGTATACAACGGCCTCTCAGGTTTTTGATCGCTTACGTAGATCGGAAGTTCATATTCGCTCTCTCACTTGCATGATACGGGATACTATAATCATCTCTCTCTCAATTGTTACGAGCTAAGTATTCTTTCATACTGTTCACAAACATGGAAAGTTTTTCAACGCCTACGACAAAGGAACAACTGTAAAGTCGAAAAGTGGGGCGGAGTCGCATGCTCCTGGCCCTTCTCACTACACCACCAACTTTGCTGACAGTTACCCATGCCGTTCGCTTCCTCCTGCTCAACTTTGGAGCCAGGTTATTCATCGTGTTGAGTTCATGATCCAGATATAAATAGATGGAGCACGCAGAGATATTCATTCTGTCGAGCAAGAATGCAGCATCAAAAACAGATCCGTTTTTTCAGGAGCATCGTTTTCGTGAGATTTGATCGAAAACGAATCTTTCCACAAGCGTTGTCGAAGTCAGCCAACATTTATTCCGTTTGTCCAATGCTTGATATTATAAGGACAACATTGTCGCCAAATCAAAGAAGACCTACATATCGACCGTCGACTTTCAATCAATTTTGTCCCATTCCAATTTTCACATGACGCTATTGTGGTGGCTGAAAATAATTTTCACGACATTGCATCGCAATTTCGAACACCTCTTTCAAACATCTATGTCAGCGTCTTATAAAATGGTGATGTTTTGGTTGTGAAATTGCTACACACAGCTCAGGGAATACCTTCAAATACTGAAAAGTAACGTACCGGCTTCCCAGGGCCTATACTTCAATGAGCCTCGTTATTGCGAAGATATGGTCTGTGAAACTTAAGCCATTACTGCTAATCTTCGCTTCTATTATCGCCACTGCTCAAAGGTTGGTGAGTTCGTGGGAATGAACGTTGGCATATTTATTCGAGTATTCCTGAGACAAACGTCTCTTGATGACTTTCGAATTATCGGCAATGCTAGCAATAACATGGTGTTGATCATATTATCCATCGATGTCTTCGATAACCGCATATTCCTAGAATCCGACATGCTGCCTGAACAACTCCCATTTATGGTAGCTTTAGGACTTCTTTTCTTGAACTTTGCTGCTTCCGCTCCTTTCTGCGGAAAAAGGAATGTTGTACAAACGTTCGATAGGAGGAAAAAAAATAGGGACGACAGTGACATTAGTTAGGTGAAACCGTCGATCTACAATGATGTGATTTATTTTATATGCTTTCCACTGGGAGACTACCATGTCCAAAATCCAGATTGGGGCTTCTGGAATTGTTAGTTACCATGAATAATTTTGGTCGTCATGACGAACTCAGACTGCCACTCACCCTGTTTGTTTCATTCCGATTTGTGGGTACCGATGTGAAATCTGTCAGATGTTCATTTTAGTTCAATCTTAGCGATGCAAAAGCCAATTGAGTCTTCAAAGAAAGTAGGCTTTCTCCGTAGAATTTCTCTAAGCCCATATAGAACGCTTCGTTCTCGCCATCGTTGGATCTTAATGTGGGTGCAAGACGATGCAGATTGTCAAAGCAGATCTACATCTCTTTAACTATGTGTCCGATCCTGATTGTTAGTTATTAAAAGCAGTCGATGTAAATGCTCAAAGTCGTGTTGATAGGAACGCTAAACCCTATATAGAACGCTTCCACTTCATTTCGTCATAACCTGATATGGGTGCGTGGGTAACGAAGAGCCATAGAAACTTGTCAATCTCTGCCAGAGAAGATAAGGAACTCATAATTTGAACACAATTCCTAAGCGTCCCCTTGTATTTCCCAGTCACTTAGTTGCACGCTTTGCACGAACTGGTTTGTAAAATGCAATCTGGAGAGAGCAGAACAACTCACGCATTAATGCATTAATACCCTCACATAAATACAAAACGTGGGTGTAAAGTCGATGGAGCACAAACAGGAATTCCATTCGCTGGATCCACTTACATCTTAGGGAGGCACGCGATCGCTTTTAATCCGCGTTAAACCCCCATCCGCCACTTGATAAGGGTCATGTTCTCTCGACTATCCGAGTAGAGATCTTCCAGGGAGCAAGATTCGTGGCAATTGCAAAATACTTTGAAAACCGTACCTCAAATGGCTTATACCAAAGTTCACACTCCGTTTTATCAGCAGTTTCCGGTTTCTTCTTCTCTATCTTACTAAAGAAACCTATGAAACGTGCGGATGCTCGTCGCTTCTTCTCTTCGATTGCCTGGAAACAACAATGTTACGACTAAATGTAACCACGGAATTGAATAATAGAGTTATAAATCACTTCAACCGTTATGACAAAAGAGATTGCCTGAGTTTCACTGCTCCACGTACTTTACTAAACACCTAATTATTTGAAAGATATTCCTTCAAAATACTTCTAGAACACTAGACGGAAGAACTGAGGTTAAACTCGCAATTCACTCTCTAAGGTCATAACAAACGTTTCATAAAGTACATCACGATTTGCACTTATTTGCACCTCTACAATATTCTGATACTGCTGTAAGAACAATTGACATTACATAAATTGAGTGTCTTTGGGAGCTGCCAATCGGAAAATTTTTCCAAAATTTTTACATTGCAGAAATTATACATTGCCTTTAATTTCTCTTCAAAAAAATCATCAATCAAAAATGTTTAATATAAACTAACATATAGGTATTCCCTTAGTTTTCTAGTCATGTAGAAATACCGCTACCCTGTGTAGTTGTTCTGGGGCAATTGAACATATTTTGTATCGAAAAATTTTAGCGAAGATTTCAGCAAATGAATCAGCGTTGTGGAATAAGGGACGATTGAACAACAATTCGAGCTTGGAACCTCAACCAAGGTTTACTGGCTCACTCACTGTGACGACGATATACTTGTGTTGAAGAGCAAGCATAGCTGGTGGACCGTATCCTTCCTTCTATGTTTAAAAAAGCTGAACTTTCCCATTTGAAAGCTCGGTTAAGCATAGACATTCAGTAAACGCCGTTATCCCGGTAGCAAACTGAGTGAAACGCCCCTTCCCTATGGTAACGGACAGCTTCTGATGACAACCACAGAAAGCTCTAGCTTAGGTGTCCTGAGAATCCAGAAATAATATTCGTTCAACAACAATGTTAAGCTCGGTGGGCGCTAAAACGTTGGCCAACGAGAAAACCGAAGAAAAGCGGACAAAACCTCGACTTTCAACCAGCCTTACTGGACAGCAGCTACACAGCAATCACATTGTAGTGTTCCTTGTTCTGCAACTACAAAACTAAAACAACTTCATTTGACGTCAACTGCGGCCAACCTGACGTAACCCTCACTGTCCATGGAGAAAACACACGCTCGCATTATGATGATGAGCTTTGTTCTACGTTTATTCATTACTTACTCTGTCATTTCATATGACCTCGCAACTAACTAGCTTGGAAACCCTCCTTTTCCCGCATCCATTTCGAAAGAAGCTGAAGACCATCACTTGCAATTTATTCTAATGTGTAGTGCTAGAAGCAAATACATTCTATGATCACATGATAAGACTAGCCCACGAAGAAAAACACTTCTGTGAACTTTTTCTGGAGAAACTTCAACATCATCATAGTAGACCAGAGAAGGGCAACACAAGATCGAAGGAGTGTACAAATGAGAAAACAAACCATCTTCCACAGCGTTTGCGCATGGCTTACCTGTCCCAAAGAAATCCGCTTTCCATTTAGAGACATTCAATATGGAAGCAAAGGCAGTCTTTCCTAACCCTTAGTAGACGACATTAACTGATTTAAATTCATGTATCCAAGAGTAATTGTAAATTTCACATTTAGACAGAATAAGTCAACTCATACTAAACCTTACTAATTGAGATGGAAGCCATTTAAACTAACAGTTCTTTCTTCAATCTAGAAAAGTTTCCCTTTTCACATCGGGGCTCGTATTTTGAACAGTGAAAACGAGCATAAAACCTACGAAAATCAAATCCCTTTTCAAATTTTTGAGAAGTTGGGATTGAAACCGATTCAAATGAAATAACATTTTGTAAAATATCTAATCCTTTAAAGTGATATGGAAATGTTTACTCATTAGATTTTTTAGATTTCCCCACTCCACAAGCAATTTAGTTATTGAAGAACCAAAATTGTCCACTGCGTATTAGAGTTGAAGTTTTGAAACCCAGAAGGACTAACAGCTATTCACCAGATATCTTACCACAGCATAAGGCAGACTCGATCAAATATTCCTGACTGATCTTCGAAAACCTTCGAAACTATGTCGAGTGCGTTCCACTTCAACATGCAGATAGTGCGAATGGTGTCTTTACCACTTCTAAGGAAGTTTCTCGAGAAAAAAAGATCGGAAGAAAAAACTGAAACCGATCCAACTGCCACATCCCACCCACAACTGGTAGTAAATTGTTAGCTACAAGGGGTTCTTGTAGGAGAACATAACAATGGTAACAATAGAACAGTTGGCGACAACATAGAGACGAACCACTCTACAGAAATACTATAACGACTGCGAATGTATAAACTGTTGGCCCTGTGATACAACGAGGAGATTCGCAGGTTTTCTCACCACAAGAAGAAATTGCAAGCATAAACGTTCAACTCACTATTTTCTGCTCTAAAAGTGCTGTACCGCAGCCCAAAAATATATGTATATATGTATGCGTACATATTTATGTGTATATATATATGGCATAGACATAGACATGTATATATATATATGTATATAAATGTATATATATATATGTATATATATATATATATATAGGAGATATGAAAACTGCTTCTATAAGAAAAAGTCCACAGCCTCAAAACAAACGCCATACTACCAGCGTTGACTTAGAAGTCTACTTCCTACAAATGAATGTTGGCGAACAGCTATCCATAGTGCAAAATAACAATACAGCTCTTCATCGGCGACTTTCCGTCTGCATAGAAAAATGGTCCAAAAAACAAAAACCATCTCACCGAAATTCACCACCGCATTGTATAAGACCAATGAACTACAGTAGCAATAAGGTGAACGCAGTGGTGGAAATTCTCATTAAACCTTCTTATTACGGATGGTCGTCACCTTTACAAAAAATATCAGCGATGTTCAGAACGCAACGAACCCATAAAAGAGGTACGGTTGGAAATAAATAGGAAAACGACTAGATTTATGAACTCAGTATGTACCACTCACAACATGCTGATCGATTGTCTTCAGATTACACAGACCAGACTATCTAGTGTGCTCAATGAACTTGCTAACTAAATTAATGAGAAATCTAAAGAAAGACGGTAACCAGTAGAGACCACGCTTCGCCCTCTCAATGAAGTCACTAACGAATCGAAGCAATCACGGCTGAAACATTTCATTCACCTGTTTGACCCAAATTTCAAGTCAATGAAGATGAGACGTATGCACACGCCTAAGCCACGTCGAGAATTTTATGTACAACTCATACATATACTGCTTAAATGGTATCTATGAAATAAGACCAAGAAGATAATAAACCGTAGCACACAGTTCAAACCAACCTGAAGAATCTCATCTTCCACATTCAGAGGAATGTCCAACAAAAAGCGAAATATGGTTTTGCTCGTCATTTCAGAAAAGTTCACGACGAATGGACGGGAACAATCGCAATGTGGACACAAAAAAATGCAAGCATTCCCTACTGCTATCACATACAGCCGCACATCTTTGTAACAAATGTCGACCAGCTGCATTTAAAAAAGAGAGACAAACGAGTTTTTTCTTTTTGAAACGGAAAACAAAAAGAAAAAACCCATCACCACGGACTAGAGTGTATGCGGTTTATTTATATGCTAGGTGGAATAGACTTCACTTCTTTTATACACGTTATAAGGGATAAAACACGTACCAAAAGCTATATAGTACTACACATCTCAGGAAAAAGATTCTTTCTGGAGGTCAGATTATGTCAGTGACCTAAACGAGCCTAATATGGTGTTCCAACGCAAGATATGAATTTGTGAATATTCTACTGGCCCAACAGAATAACCCGACCTTATTGCGGGCTTAGAGCTCATTCTTGACTTAATATTTCATGTATTTTTAACCTATACCAGATTTCCAGCGCTTGTTCGGTCATGGTTTAACTTCGCTTTATACTATTACCGAAGCTTCCCCACTTCAATACCTGGATAAGCGACGCTGAAAAGACACGCGCGTGCGAACTTAAGCACATCGTCACCACTTCACCCCGGTTTGAAACATGTTGTAAAGGTGGAGCTGCTCGTTGATGGATCAAACACTTTCACTACTGGATGTTGTATTTGACAGCGACCGTTCGAAGCTTACCAGCTACAGTTTGGGATTTCTGATGTTCTCAGACTAAAATCCATCATTATCACTTCAAATTTACTTTGCTGAACCATATAAGAAACAGTTTAAATCAAATATTCAAGACTAGAGTTAGAAAAACACATTCAAGTACTTAGTATTGCCTGCAACATAAAAAACCCAAAGTCATTTCACGTTTGGTCATCAACAGTTGCACCACCTTTATCAACACGACCATAAACCCAAAGTGGTCTATAGAAATGTAATAATTCAATCACTAGAAAACATGTACAACCTCTTCCTCACGTCGTTTTGCCTCCTTTCTTTCTTCTTCTTCTTTACGTTTAGCTTCCCTCCGCTCCTCTTCTTCCCGCTTTTTCTGGGCCAATTCCTCTTTTTTCTTCTGCTTCTCCTCTTCCTCTCTACGTTTGCGTTCCTTGCGTTCTTCTTCCTCTCTCCGTTTCTCTTCTTTTTTCTTTTCATCTTCTTTCCGTTTCTCCTCACGTTCCCTTGAACATGGGAAATGTATGTGAACAAAAAGTTTTAAAAAGTGGCAGGAAAACTTACTTCTCCTTCCTTTCTTTCTCCAAGCGTTTCTCCTCAACAATTTTCTCTTTTTCTGCCTAAAAGAATTCAAAAACAGATAGACATCAAATTCCTTCTATGAATGATCATCGTTTGATCTGCGCATGTTCATTTTCATATTCCACATACTACATTCTACACTTACTCCAAAGCCATAAATCAAGAACTTTCTACGCACGAGTTTCAATTACTTTTAGATAAACCAAGACTGAGCAAAGCATAACAAGTCTTCGATTCTGTTGAAGTATATCTATTGCTCCTCTCAACGGTTTAGCGCCTCATCGTAACTGGGAAATGTTCCCAAATGTTCGGCTGAGATGTACAGCGGGGGAGTCATCCGCACAGCAGGGTCTCCCAACCTGAGGAGACCAGCATTCCCATCAGGAATCCCAGCTAAAAATAAACCAATAAAAGGATCCACTACGGTCCTGGTATCAAAGTCGCATGGTGGCAATCTCCCTCTGGTCCACAAGGGCAGCGACTGCCTGTGGTAGTGACGACCTGGGACATACTTTGGTCAGGCTGAGCTCGGCATCCCAAAAAACCACGATAGCTAAACCAGCAAAACTTCGAAAAGTGGAAATTATACTGGAAACCGCACAACCAGTGAAGACGGGCCATCGACACCACGTAATGATATCCAAA